AGTTCTTTTATTTCTCCAGTAAGGGATTCTCTAGTGTCCCCATGCTTTTTTTTTTCAAGCCCAAGTAGTATATAATCATTATACTGAACTCTAGTTCCGTCATCCTATATATATCCATTCTGATTAGGTCCTTGGCAGTCAGTACTGCTTCTTTTTCTCTTTTCAGGGGAATTTTTCTGTCTTGTCATTCTGTCGAGGGAAGAATAGATGAATGAGAGAACAAAATACTAAAACAACAACAAGAATTCTAGAGAATTATATACTAAACAAATCAGAAGAGATAAAATCATAAAATTTTAAAAAAGAAAAGAAGAATATCAGACAGGTGAACAGAATAGAGCAATACATTTGGTTCTGGGTGTATTTTGGTCTGTTAGAAGAAACTACATCCCAAAATTGTAAAAAAAAAGAAAAACACATGTATGTGTATACATACACATATACACACACATATATATGTATACACATATATGTTTTAGATATGTGAAAAACATGTATGTATATATGATATATACACATGTATGTATATATATTTACACAATATATATACAAAAATTAAATACAATGAAAGGATAGAATGTAAGTGTAAAAGCAAAAATTAAAAGACTTAAAGAGTTGATAAATTAGTTGAAGAGGAAAAAGAAAAAAAATAAAATTGAAAGACTAAATAATCATGAGAAAACAATCTTGAATTCTATATACTATTTTCCCCTAGCCCTGGAGTGAGTTTTGCAGTTCTGTGTGATCAGTAGACTTAGTCTTAGCAGGGTCCTCTAGGTGATCCTCTGGGGGAGGGGCCTGTTGTGTAGATTCTCAAGTATCTCTGCCCCAGGCGGAACTGTACCGTCCTTGCCTGGGGGCCAGGCTAACTAATCTGGTCTGGATTGTTCTACTGTGGCTTTTGTCCCCTGAAGGTTTTCTGTGGCTGATTCAGTTTGTATCATTATGAATTCGGCATTATGTATTGTTGACCTTTTCATGTTACAAAATGAAGTTCCTGGGAGTGTTTACCCACACATGTATGCAAATATTTGGAAAAGAGTAATATAGTTCCAAAACAGGCTTCCTTCAATGTCTTATGAGAAAATTTTGACCTTTGATTTTTTTTCTTACTACTACCACTGCTGTAGCTACTGCGATGTCTATGGAGTACTTAGTATGTGCCAGGCATTGTTATAGGTGTCCTAGACATATTAGCACAGTCAATTTTCGTAGTAATTTGCTGACTATGTATGATTATCATCCCCAACTTAACAGAGGAGGAAACAAGTACAGAGAGGTTAGGTAACTCTCCTGAGCTAATGAGTACAGAACCAGACCCTTTATTGTTTGGCTCCAGAGTGCATGCTTCTACAGTACTGCCTACTACTAATCCATTACGCTGGCCCTGTTGCGATAGCACTCTGTATATTGCTTATTCCCTCATCAGGAAAGCTGAAAATTTGCACAGTTGGAAAGGATAAATAATTGAATTAAATACACTGCTAACAATTATAGTGTGTGGATTTAAATTAACTTCTTCTGACTTATAAAATTTGACATCAGGAATTGATTTCATGTGAAGTTTCAATAGTGTCAAATGTCTATTGGATCACTCTTATGAGCCCCACTAGAGAAAGGCAGTGATGAACTCCCACACTCAACTCAGATGCTGATAGAGGGGTAAGCGTGTAAACCACCACACAACAGTAACAGTGTGACTTGGAGAAGAAATGCGTGCATGATACAGCAGACCTGCCAGTAAGTACAGTTGGATCTTCTTTAGAGCCAGTCATTCAGAGAGCCAGAATTAGTTCATGTGTGTTAACTTGGTAAACTTAAAATGATTGTGGATGATGTGTGGGTCAGTTTGATGTGTTTAGGAAACTGTGTTGTTCAGGAAGAAACATTAGGAACTGTCACACATATCTAGACAATCAGAATTGTTTATAGTCACAAAATAATTTTCAAGGAAACATGCCCTGACTCTGCATCAGTGTTAGAGATCATGGAAACCTTATGTATTTCTTGTAAAATGTTTCAACAGAAAAGAGCCAGAGAGTACAAGCCCTAAGTGATGTTAGGGAATATAAGGAAATCAGGATTGTATGAGAAAAACTGCTCAGTGTAATTAAGTGAAAGTACCTCAATATATTACAATCCTTTGAACACACTGAATTTTGAGACAATATCATTCATAGCCATGAGTCACAGCCATCACAACAAACATATCTACTTACATTTATTGTGAATCAGGAAAGTGCTTTGTATGCATTATCACAGTTAACTCTTACAACAGCCCTGTGAGGTAATCACTGCTGTTCCCTCTGTCTCACCGATGGGAAAATGGAGGAAAACAGAGTTGTTACATGTGCAAGGTTATACAACTAGCAAGCATTATTCATTTACTTATTCAGTATTTGTTGGGTATACTTACCAGGGCCCTGGTACTATTCTAGGGAGTCAGGACTTAGCAATGAGTAAAACAAACTTTTGTAGAAGGACCTTACCTTCTGTGAGGGAGGTAGACAACAGCAGATCAACATGGAAACCTATGATCAGTCAGATGGTATTAAAGATTATGTAGAATAGTGAAGCCCAGGAAAGAGGAGAAGGTAAGGTGTGGGAATGGGCTGTTGTTACTTCTTTATACAGGATAGCAAGGGGGACCTCTCTGATAAGGCAACATTTTAGCAGACACTGGAAGAGAGAGAGGGATACATGTAGAGGAAGAGCATTCCTGGCAAAGGAGGTGCCTGTGCTTGGAGTGTCTGAGGAAGATCAGAGAGGCTGTTCAGTTGCTATGGGTGAAGGGGAGAATGGTTAGAATTTGAACCCAGATTTCATCTGACCCCAAAGCCCACATTTTAACCACTACAGTAATCTAATGGGGCAACCACAGTATTACATAACCCACTGTTATTTTGGAGACACTCTGTATTAGCAAAATGCCTGCTGTCACAGAAAAGAGGAGGGCAGTGAAGGTCTACTCTAGAAGTTGTGTGTAGAGTCAAGAATATGTGAGAAATCCCTGTGGTTTGGGGAGAAGTGCTTTGGAGAACAAAAGTAGGGCACAATTATGGACCATAAGTTTGGAAATCTGGAAGTATACCTCCCCTGCTCAGGTTACTTCAGTGGTTCTCTATTGTCTTCAGAGTTTTGGGGAAATTTTATAGCTTTCCCAAAGACCCATATGAAATTGATCTAGTTTTGAGTGATGATAAAGACCGTTTTCATTACTGCTAAGCTATGCTGCTCTTTTCAGAATGTGAAAGCCATTGCGTAGTCCTTGGTTTCCTGTCACCTACAGAATGATAAGCCTTGGCAGGGAGGGCAGGGCCCTATGTAGAGTCGCTCCTTCCTTCCCCTTTGCCCTTATTTCTATTGCCTGTCTTCTTGCATCCTGGCATGGAGCAAGACAATACTCTTTAGTTCCATGTGCATGGGACTTTGTACTGAAATGACATTCTTCCTCTTATTTTGTGCGCAAGATTTTATATCCTTCTTGAAGACTGTACTGTTTTCCTCCCTAGACTGAGTTACAATTTTTTGCCTTGGCTGCTTTCAGAGCTTACACATCTCTGTACTTGCTCATCATTTCCAGTGGAAATCATTCTTTGAGTCCCTGCCTTCCTAGCCAGGATTAGAGCCCTTGGTCTGTGCTATCAGAAAAATCCAAGGAAGCATGGATCTGCCTCTTATCACATTTTGGGGCAATTATTTTTCTGCCTCTTCTTTTGGGCTCTGTCATTGAGAGCTTATGCATCATTTTTAGCTCTATGGCAACCGCTGAGAATAACACTTGGCATATAGTTTATCAGTTCATTTCATTTAAACCTAGAATATTAGATGCTGCGTTCTAATGATGACAGTTTTGTTCAGAGCAAAATAAGTAGAACATGTTGAGCAGCGTTGTTAATTCACTCAGAAAAAAATAGATGGCAATAAAAATAGTACTACTTAATGAAAGATTATTTTGTGACAGATATTAAATTCATTGCTGAAACACATTATTCCATTATTCTAAATGAAATTCAAACTTGAAAGGTATACCTTATTAGGTATAACTTTAAGGCTAAATTAATGTATTAGAACTTTTAAAACTAAACTTAAAAAAATGCATTCATTTTCAAACTCTTGCAAACTGGATAGTAGGAGGTGTTAGTGGGGCTTTAAGTGGAGGGAAAATGTCCTTAGAAAGGGACAGTTGTCATCTTTGTTTTTTTATACTCAGTTTTTAAAGCGTCACCACAAATGTGTATACTTGGCTACATGCAGAGATCTTCCGGAAGGAACACTGTACTCATTTATAATTTGAACATGGCATGGTGGGTGAGACAGAGGGCTGTTGGAAAAGTGAGCCCAGATGAAACCTTGCGTAATGCAGCGCTTCGTGCTGGATCAACGGTTAATTGTAAAGGCTTCAGAAGTGCCATCCTTACAACCTAAGGCCCAAAGTGGGCTGCTTAAGGCCATGGTTGCTTTGCCTAATTCCTGACTTTTCATTCAGTAGAAACCCCATTCATTAGGAATTCTATTGAGTAGTTTTGGAACAGGAATGCTCATTGCTGTTTGCTTTGTGTTTCCGAGACAAGTATGCTCTCTCAAACTGATATGCTTATAATCACTGCTAAATCATTTTTAGACATGTTTTTAATTTTGGCTTACAAACCATTTATATGTTACTCTAGCAATGTTGAATTATAGTCTGAAATATTTTTAAATGCAAATCCTCAAAGCAGTTTATCATACACTTTTCTCATACTTCTCATAGCACAATGTAGCTTTTCTTCCCTGTTTCTGGGGGGAGGGCTTGATTTTCTTATCTCCTTAATTTCTCAAAATTTTGCACTGATTAAAATGGATTAGATATTCTTTATTTAATCCTAAGACTTAAAGCCTATCAGTAGGAAAGGTTACATTAGTTCTCAGAAAGGATATTTAAGAAATTGTTTTGCTTTCAACTCTTTTCGTTATCCAGCAGAAATTTATTCTAAAGCTCTTTTGTGGTTTTATTGCAGTGACACAGCTGCCAAAGCTCTGTGGGAAGCCTTACTGAGCACCAAGCATAAAGAGGCAGTGATGGAAGTCCGGAGACATCTAGTGGAAGCAGCAAGCAGAGAAAACCTGCCAATCAAAATGAGTATGGGTAAGTATATCCTCTTCTAGGACAGACAGTGATCACAGGCTCTGGGGAACTTGACTTAAGCTTCTCTAAACTATGGGCCAGTCTGGCCAGTATGTCATCTCAGTGAAAGTATTGAAGACATTTGTAAGCTGTTGAGAGAGTAGGCAAGGAGTATGGACACACAGCCCTCAGGGTTCAGCAGTGACCCTCCTTTCTGACTCAACTTTGGGAACTCCTTGCTTACAAAGAGTAACATATTTAGTTTTTTTATTTGATCTGGAGCTATCAAAATTCGGCTGGACCACCTCCTCTTCATCCTGTTCCATTCCTACTCCGCCCCTTGCCCCCACCCACTTATTGTGGATATGAAGGGTCTTTCATTAGTTTGACTTGAGTGAACTACTGTGCTGACAAAACAATTGAGTGGACAGACATGTTCTGACCTGGCCCTTCACTCTTAGCGTAGTCTGCTAATTGTCTACTCACACAAGTGCTGTCTCTTCTCCAACCAGGGTGTTACATACTACATCTTTCTCATTTCTCAGGCTTTTTTTTTTTTTTTTTTTTTACATTCACTTTTCTCTTCAGTATTAGAAGAATCTGGCTGCAATAGAATTTGAGTTTTAAATAAATGGCTTTTTTCTTTTGGCTAAAAAAAATCAGAGGACTCGTGTTTTGATTTTAGAAAAGGAATCTGATGTTTTACTTATTTTTAAAATTAAATAATTTTCTTAACATGGAAATATTTAAATATGGACTTGAATCTGGTTAATAAGTAGAATTTAATTCTGAAACTTTCAGAAGTTTATTTCTTTAAAAATAAAAATTTTCTCTTACCATCTTACTGGATGGGAAAGTTTTTCTTTGCTGAGATTTGTAGCCCAAGTTCTTGATTATTTATAAGTATAAAAATCAAACTATCAAGTTGAAATAGAAGAATGAAATTTTAAAAGTAAAAGAATGGGTGAATATAGAAGGGGAAAAAGTTATAGGATCATGATAAAAAAATATCATGACTCTGAATGTGTAAGGTGACTATATACAAGGACTTTAAGGAGCATAATGATGATAGAAAAGTAAAAGTAACTAGCATTTATTGAGTCAGGTTTTCATCTCTTTTCATGTGTTGATCTCATTTAATCCTTAGAGTAATTCTGCAAAATAGGGACCATTAATATCCCATTTTTCAGAGAAGGAAACTGGTATTGAGAAAAATTAAGTTGCCATTTAGCTGATAAGGGGTAGGACTACAATTCACATTCAGACATTCTGATGTGAGAGAGTATACTTTATTTATAAAATCATCCTATTTCCATATAACCAATGCCAGAAATCCTATGTGTTGTTTTGGAGTAGAAAGAAAGTGCTTCTTTGAGACTATCCTGGAGTTTAACTATTAATTCTCCCCGCCCTCCTTCCCTCCCCCCCTTTCTCTCTCCCTTTTTCTGTCCTCAAGTCTAGATACACATTGATAAGTGTGTTTACTGTATAGAGTTCCTTATCCATGATCATGTTGAAACAAGAACAGGTTCATATTGTGAATCAAGAAAAGTAGGATTGCACAAAGGTTTTGGTGATAAGGTTGATTTATATTGCATTTCAATGATGTAACCTTATGATGCTATCACAGAGCCTAAGTCAATTTTGATTGCTCAATATAGGACTCTTGAAAGATCAACATACTTTACTTTTCTAAAGGACTGTATCTTTTAAATAATATCAAAGCCAGAAATAAATTTTTAAAAAAGACTGGCAACCCTATGAGGAATTCAGACTTAAAGTTTGAGTTTTCACTGACCAAAGGGGAGGAAAAAGCCTCAGATGTAATGAGTTGCATTATTCCAAAACTCCAGACATGGGGGAGAAAAAAGTAGAAAAGATACAGACAGTTGTTAGCAAACTTTGATTGTAAGAAGAACTGAAAACATTGGCCCAAATCACACTTTATCCATGTGTCAACTATAATTTGGTAAAAGCTGAACAGTGCGGCTCCCCGTTTCTGTTTCATATCACTAGTCAGAATTTCTGGTGTGTCTCATTTTCATATACTAACAGATATATAACCATGAACAGTAAGAAAAAGATCTGGAGTTTAAACATAATAAAACATTGGTATTTGAAAATTCCTTATCATATAGCTTATCATAAAAAAAATCATACTCTGGTGTCTTAGCTGGCTGGAATGCATTTTCTAGCACCATTTAAAACTATGAAATATGCTTTAAACTATGTACCATTCTCCCAATCCCTACTGTAATTCTTCTGAAGTATACATTTTTCTGTGACAGAGGCTTCTAGAACTTTTGAGACATTAAACAAATTTTAATTCGAGATTGAGGATTCTCTTATACCTAAATTCACTGAGATGGACCTCTAATTGAAACCTCAGATTTTAAATATAAAATTTCTCAGTACAAGGTAAACTCATTAAAACATTTGAATACCAATAGAAATTAACATTCTGTGAAAGGAAAAAAGTTTAATTACTAAAACAAAGAAAATTCATTTTATCATTTTACATATAAACATATGCCATCTTTCCAAGAGCTTGTTATTAAATTCTCAGTTAGCTAAATATATGTGTTCCAGAAAAGTGATTTTTTTTTTTTTAATTTATGATAGTCATACAGAGAGAGAGAGAGAGGCAGAGACACAGGCAGAGGGAGAAGCAGGCTCCATGCACCGGGAGCCTGACGTGGGATTCGATCCCGGGTCTCCAGAATCGCGCCCTGGGCCAAAGGCAGGCGCCAAACCGCTGCGCCACCCAGGGATCCCCAGAAAAGTGATTTTTAAAACGTTGTAAACTGAATTGCATTTTCCCCACTGGCTTTCAAGATGAAAAATGTATCCTGAAAGTACAAAAGAAATAGACTCTAAGAAAGCCTTTTGTTTGGATTCAAAATGTCCATTTACAAAAGAAATAAGTACAAGATGCCTGTCTGAATTCCGACATTTTACACAGATTCTGTTTCTCTGGAGTACTTCTGTGGTTGGAGGGTCTTCACCAATTTGTCCTATTGCTCTCTGCAGAGTGGACAAACTGTCCAGTGTTTAATGGGTGGCAGGAAGATCATATTGGAGCTGAAGGAAAACAGATCCCAATGACCTCATTCTTTCTTATGTATGCCAGATTTCTTGAGAAAGTATTCTTTGCCTGATACCTCCGTTTCTTCATTATTTCCTTACTTATTAATCTAGTGCAGTCTGACTTTTGACACTTTTTTACTGAAAAGTCTCCCAGACCACTAAATACAAGTTTTTTTTTTTTCTCAGTCCTCATCCTTCTTGACTTCTTTGCAGCATTCACCTCTAGATTCACCGCTGCCTTGTGCATGTGTGTTCTGTGATTGTGATGGGGTGCAAAGCCAGCTATGTCTGGTTCTGTCACCAAAGAGCCAAACTTCCATTTCTCTATCCACAAAAAATAGGGAAAATATCTATTTCCTGGAATATGGAAGGAGAAAGAAAGCTCTGAGCAGAGTGAAGGTCCTGATGAAGCAGACTGGGATTGGTATGCTATGGGCGTCGAAGCAGAAGTCTGGGAGAATGAATCTACATGGGAAACCAGGTTGTATGAAGGTAGTTTGATAAGAGGGAAGTCAAAGCAAGTGAACCGAGTTCAGTAATGTTCCCCTTTCTTTCTGGGAAATATGCTTACTCATTCTTTTCCAATTCACTTGTCCTTTTCTAGTCTTTATGCTGAGTATCTCCTTTTTGATGATGTGTTCTTCCCTTATGCAGAATTCCAAATAGTTTTCCCATTTTCAGCTTAGGTACGATTACATTGTTACCTTGTCCTTTGTACCTTGGGGGAGTCTGTTCACCCCCACCCCCAAATCACCTTGCTTGTACTTGGGATTTCCGAGCTTCTCTCATCACTTCTGTAGAAAGATCTCTTGAGCTACATTTCCAGATGATAATCTGATCCATTACATGGAGATATGTCTTACTCTCCGAGTTCTGGGCACTGTAGTGTCTGCTTCATATATGTACTATTAAATGGGATGAGTTCTTTCAACCATTTGTGAAAAGACAAGGCTTTTCCACCTTGACCATTGCAATCGCCTCTAGTTTGGACCTACAGACAGAGCCCTAGTCGTTAATGTCCCTCCTAAAATGTAATGTCTAGAGCTGAAGAATGCTGTCTTGGTTGTCACCTCTTTTTTGGATTCTATGCTTCTAATGAAGCTCCAAATGAGATTAGTGATTTTTTTGCTTCCCACCAGTGCCACATTTACTATCATCTTCTCTTTTACCACTTCATAATACTGGCTTTAAAAAAACAGTAATAAGTCAAAACACTCTACAGTTTTACTCAATATATACTTTTCAACATCATTGAGAATACTGTGTTTCCTTTACTGGTGCTTGAGTTCATCCAACTGGATGAACTGGATAACAACTACATTTTTATTATATTTGTATCTTTTGTCTTCATTTTGGAGGGTTTTTTAAAATCTGGGATTAAGGGGAACATGTGTGTATATACAGCTGTGTGTGTGAGTGTGTGTGTGTGAGGGAATTGTCAAACTGCGAAAAGGATAGGTTAAAACCCAATAAAATCCGCATACATGTGATACATGGTAATTTCTCAAGGATGAGAAAATCTGGATGCCTCATACGACACATACGCTGATTATGAACTCTCACACTTCCTTGTCTCCATATAGAAGCTGTTACCACAATTTGGAGCATGGGGAAGGGAATTTGATTTTACTCTAACAGAGTTTTGCATGGTTAATTTCATGCAATCCTTTCCACGATCTTATGAATTTGGTACATTTTTTAGTTCCCATTTCACAGACAAGGAGAAATGAGACCCAAGAAAAGTGAAGTTTCTTTTCCAGGATGCCTGTGTCAGTTGTGAAGTTATTGTCTCTCAGATCTAACCTCACCCTTCCACTCTGTAAGGCTACGGCTGGGACTCTGCAGACCACATTTCTGCTCTCCTGCTGCCTCCATTGCTAGAGGGAGATGGCAAGGCTGGCAGGGAAGGAGCCTCCTGTGGACTTCCCTTCTGT